TTAAAACTACTTTAGCTGTGGGACGGTCTAATCATCTTTCTTCCACCCTGCTGTTGTGAATGGTACCATTACAAACAGAAGCAGTTATTAGTCAAGATTCTTCACTGAGACAGAGTCCACATGCCTTTCCAGGTAGATTGCTGACCATAAAGCTTTTGCTTCTGCTACGTTTTTACATGTTAAACTCTTCATAAGTAGAGAGTGTTTCGAGCCAGTGTGCCAGTGATAATGTTTACATCTACTACATTGTCAGCCCTCTGCATCCATGGGAGGACTGGATCCAGAGCCATCCATTGGTCTTGAAGTCTAAGGATGCTGCTTTATCCCTCATGTAAAATGCTGCATGCTTGGCGAACACTCTGTGCGCATTAAATCATCTCTAGATTACTTACAGCAACTAGTTCCATTTTGATGCCATAGAAATATCTGTCATACTGGGTAGTTTAGGGACAATGGCAAGAAAAGTGACTGTATGTGCTCAGCACAGATGCTGTTGGCTTTCTGAATATTTTCTCCCTACAGTTAGTTGAATCCTTGAATTAAATATCCATAGATACAGAGGAATCACTGTCATCTTTTAATTCAATAAACATGTCATTCAATCCACTTTATGAATTGTAAAGCAGAGCACAGGATTTCAGAAAAAAACATTATTTCAGTATTTATGGAATTTGTGAATTTAATTTTTCAGGTTCTATATGCTTGACTTCATATATTTCTGTGATGGTTTCCATGTTATTCAGAGACAAGACAGCAATACTCAGTTTGTCCTATCTCCTCATGTAATTGTTCTAGCTAGTCTACCATTTTGTGAGACTGGCACTTGTCACTGTGGGAACACCCTCTCAGAAGAATCCTAGGATGAATAATAAAACAATGTGTTGCTCAAATGGAGCAACATTTAAATAATGTTCTATAAATATTGGGGTATATTCTTGTTTACAGTGTATTTTTAAATATGTGATTTCATTTGATAGTATCTCTAATGGAGATTATTTCAATGAGCAGACAAGACAGAGACACAGAGTCTGTATGCCTTTCCAGAGCCACACTAAGGATAGACTGTTATGAATAGTTTTTCTACCAGCCTGGTCCCACAGCTGTGTCAACGCCAAATAACACACAGAGGTGCTGTATTAGATATAAAGCTGTTGGCCTGTTATTAACGCTTCTCATTGGCTAGCTCTGTCTTAAATATTAATCCATTTCTATTAATCTAAGTGTTTCCATGTGGTCTTATCTTACTGGAGAGAGAGTCTGGACCTTCGACTCTCCTCTCCTACATATCCCAGAATCCTCTTGTCTCCTAGTCCTGCCTATCTTGCTTTCCTATTGGCCAACAGGGCTTTATTCATTAACCAATAAGAGAAACATTTACAGAATGTCATCTCCAATCATCTCCTCTTTTCTGTCTAAATAAAAAGAAGTGTTTTAACTTTAACATAGTAAAAAATATAACAAAACAGTTATCAATTAGGAACTATAGTTAACAATATTTAGTCCATTAATATTTAGCAAGATTTAAAGAAGATATCCCGTTATCTATCTTATTTTTGTGAGTCTGAAGTTTTACATGTAACTTATCTTTAATCCTAACTAAGGAAAATTATAACCATAACTATCTGTCTTCAACTCTATCAAAGACCACAGAAAGATAGTATATAAACTCTAGAAATGACAGAAACCTCTCCCTACCTGGTCAGGCACCTGAAGTTCTTCTATAATGTTCCATCTTCAGCCCATAGGCCATAGTGTGTGCCAGACTCCTCAACAAAGCAGGAAACTTTAAATTGTCCTCCTGTATTGGACACCTATATTGTTTCTTTGATATCCACCTTCCTTTCTGATGCAGTTGGTGTTGCCAGGAACAGTTGTGCCTCACTATTAAGAAAAACCCTAAACCATTTTAAATGCCATATTCTGTAGGTCTTTGAAAGGTTTGAAGAATGCCTATCCATTTGAAATATATCTCTGTATATCTAGAAAACCTAACTAATTTAACTATAAGTTTTGACTATCATAGGTAACTATCTACAACCTGTACTTAATTATATATTATATTTTAAAATGAGCTATATAAGCACAATATCTAACACAAGAGGAAAAATATATACTTACCAGAAAATTGTCCCTAAATTTATATTAATAAATTAAAATCCATTCCAATGCAATATAATTTTGCCCTTTTTTTTTCTTAAAAAAAAAAAAAGATTGACTGTGATCATTACCATTTAAAACCAACCCCATATAAATGAAAACAAACATTTTTAAACAATATTTGGAATTTGGGAGTCGTTCTTTCCAAACTGCTTCCTGCTGGGGGCGCTTAGGGGGGATCCTAAGAAGACACACAAATCCTGGCTGTAGTGGTCTGCAAGGCTGCCTTGTCCCAACTGTTTTGAATGTTGGATCACCTGGGACACTGTTTCAGTGGGTCTGGCTTGATCAAACCATGTTAGTCTGGAAAGAATCCGCAGCTTTTCCTTTTCTGTGGAAACAAAAATAGAAATTCTTTTCCCCAGTAACCTATCCTTAACTTAAATTTTGAAGTCAATACATTTTTAGAATATATAAATTGAATTAATCCAGCAGCATTTATTTTAACAATTGTTGCTATTTCCTCAGCAGTCAAACAATACAAAGACAACACAATAGCATACGATATCCAGACTCTCTGTGTCCTTTCCATCTTCATGTAGCATTTTTATTACTCTGTTTTTTCTACTTCTATTTTTTTCATATTTTGAGACAGGGTTTCCCTGTGTAACTTTTGCCTGTCCTAGAATTAACTCTGTACACCATGCTCCATTTGAAATCACAGAGATCTGCTTGCCTCTGTCTCCCGAGTGCTGGAATTAAAGGTGTGAGCCACCACACCCAGCTACTCTCTTTCTTTCTATTTTTTAACCACTTTATTCTGTTTCTTTTTCTCTCCCAGTCCTACTTATATTTTAAAACACACTGTAAACCTTTAGAGTTTTTTTCTTAATCTGAATCTGTTTTTACTGTAAATCTTTATCTCTTTTTGGCCACAAGTCTTTTATCTGCTAAACAACATCACTAAAATGAAAGCCATAGTTGTGTTAGCCACAGTCTATCCAAGATGGAGGGGGTACAGTTACCGCCAGCATTAAGAGCTGTGCTCACAGATTGGTCTATGCTGCCATCAAGCAGCATGTTGTCAGCTTGGAAATGTGGTCACTGTCACTGTCAGCGCTTTTACCGAAAGACCCGCAGAGTGTGGACCTTCATTCTCCCACGCAGGAAAGGTGACACCCCAAATCACTCATGAGACGTGGTCTTGATGCAAATAGCATGAGGAATTTTTATTCCAACTGCACTGGGGTCCATAGTCATAGGACTGAGGACTTCTAGGGCAGAACTGAGACAGTTTTTATAGGGTTTACAACAAAGCCCACACATAGGTCACTGGGGCAGGGGTTTCACAAGCAGTTTACAGAGTCAGATAACCGGTTAGTTAGCGCATCTTCTGTTATCTTACTAGGCCAGGATTACATACTCAAGGGCCTGTCTGTGTAAACAGCAAGGAGTGTGACCTTGCCTATTTACTGGCAGAGGACAGGGAAAGAGAAAATAGGGCATGGCGTGTGTGTGTGTGTGTGTGTGTGTGTGTGTGTGTGTGTGTGTGTGTACATGAACATTGACTCCAAAGAACTAGGAGAAGTCCAATATGGGTGAACTGTAAAATTTAAGTTCCTTACCAGAAACTCAGAAACTGTTTGATAGTCTCTCATGTAGCCCAGGCCAGCCTTGAATTTACTATGTAGCTGAGGTCCATCACAAACTTCTGATCCTCCTGTTTCCACTGCCCAAGTGCTCAGATCATGAGCATGTATTATCCAGTTTATGTAGTACTGGGGAAGGAACCTAAGGCAAGCACTCTACAAGCTCAGCCACAACCCTAGCCCGAGTAGAATCTAACCACAGATCTTCCAGTTAGCAGTATACTCCAACATCCAGTCGAGCCACATACACCAGCAATATGTATTTTTATTTTGACAATTAAGATGCAAGGGCTGACGGAATAGGACAAAAGCAAACGTCTTAGACCTAAGCTGTATAGGGGTTGAGAAGACTGTCGAATGAGGATGGATAAGGTAGTGTGAAGTAGGTAGGCACAGGAGAAAAGTGTAAAAACCAATGGACGAAATCCTCAGAATGTGTATGTGGAAGATCCGATTCTTGACTGGATGTGGGTGGAAATGGGATTGGAGAGTAAAGAAATAAGTCCAGTAAATTGAGAGTAGCAAGCTCTGGAGCTCAGAGAGCCTGCGGGGAAGAGTGGACCCACAGGGCAGATCCTCAGTCTTCTTAGCCCCTCCTACTCTTCCCCTAATCAGGGTTCTTCTTCTTCAACATGAACAGTAGGTGATACTTTACACAGTTCTCCCTTGTTTTGTTTTTGGTTGTTTGCAGTGGTAAGGGTGGGAACCAAGGCAGCGCACATGGTGGGTGAGGGCCATCCCACTGAGCACTCTACCCACTCTTCACACTTGACATTGACCACTGGACACACATTACTTAAATTGTATAGATAAGACTATCATTAAGCCAGCTTTCAAGATACTGCTTTATTTTTTTTTTCACAGCAAAGAATGAAAACTCAAGAAACACACAGAGTATTACCATACCTAACACACATGGATGCAACTTGTCATGAAGGACTCATCAGTGGGCGCAGCCAAGGTCAGAATTGACAAGGGAGAATTTCTTTTGGCACAAGCAGTGGAAGCTGGCAGAGACTTCCGAACCTAAGACGGCTAACTAATGCTGGAAGGCACTCTGAAGGAGAACACCAACCTTGTGACCCACCCCCCCCAACCCCTTTAATTCTCATAGCTAAAATTCATCCCTTGCTGCTCACACATCCGTCCTTACACCCAGGGCACAAGTGTGAGGGAGTAGAGAACAGTCACTTTTTAAAGACCACGAGACACACTACGACCGTCACACTGGAGAGAATGGACCACTTTGTGAGATTCATTTTGAAAGTGCAATATTAGAATATGTCATCGTCTTGGTTGTAATACACATCTGACTCCACAACCCCCAAACCCGTACAGGGGTCGTTCCTGTTCATCTGGGCTACATCCCTTTCACTCTTTCTTTTGAGTGGCTCTCCTTCCTGCATGTAGGGCCTCTGCAAAGCAGGGGTGCTCACATCTGGAAGGCCTTTTGCAAATGGAACCTTCTTCACCCTTTCTGGTTCAGCTACATCCGAAGGCTCAGCGGTGAGCAGAAGTCGGTCACTCCGTAGCCGTCTTCTTATTTCTTCTTTCTTTGTCTGAAAAGTAGTATTAAAGAATGAAAAAGAAGCCTGGTGATTTTATTTTCTCCACGTTCTCACTCATGTTGTGTGTCGCGATCACTTTTACTTTTCTAGTCAACTACCTAGTCTTGGAACAGATGTTGGGGAACCCAAGTTTAAAGAGGCAAATATAGGGTCTACTCTCATAGTTTATAGTCTAGCCCTTGCTCCCAAGGCTGCCAAACATGGAGGCAAAAATGAAGGAGGCAAAGGCTGTATCCCTGAGGAATGACAGGCTTGGGTTATGGGCTTTGCTACTTAAAACTGCAGGAGCTGATCTGATGCTCTTCAGAACCCACGCTTGGCTCAACACCAACCTCTGCACTGATTGTCCTCTTCCCTCTAACCCTGATGGAAATTTCCACCAAACTTGACTTATTTCAGAGAATTGAACAGTATTTATTTAGGTTGTATAGATGAAACCACACATTTCAATCGAGTTCATGGTGCTGCCTCATCCCTGCACAACATGAAAATAATTTAATAATTTGCAAGAACAAACCAAGTACAGAGCACAAGCCACGTACAGGCATTGGGGCGCAGTGCATCAGTGCACACATTTTGTCTTAAGACTGCCGACAAGCAAGGTCTGGCAGGCAGGCAGCTCCTCAGACTGGCACCCACAGCCAGCCCTTACCTTTCGGCGCTCCTCTGCGGCCTGCATCTTTTCCTCTATGTCTTGGATTGTGAAATCCTTTACCTCTTTTTTCACCTTCAGTTTTTTCAGCCTGGCTGGTGGTTTTCTCAGTGGCTTTTCAGGCGCATCCACCTGGAGGAAGACATTTTGCTTTTAATGGAGAAGCGATTATTAATTTGACCTAGGAGATAAACAGGCGAGAAAAAGTTTAAAATGTAAATTTCAAAATATAAATTTCCCAGTGGCAGATGAATGCATTAGACACGTGGAATCTGTTAAAAGGAGAATTATAGTGTGTTTGTGTGTGGGGGTGTGTGTATGTGTGCGTGTATGTGTGTATGTGTATGTATGTGTGTGTATGTATGTATGTGTATGTATGTATGTATGTTTATGTATGTGTGTGTATGTGTGCGTGTATGTGTGTATGTGTGTGTGTGTGTGTGTATGTGAAAGTCTAGCTCAATGTAAGAAATTCAGTTTAACTTTAGTTGATTGACCTACCATAATCTTCAATGACAGCAATTGATTTTGTAATATTCCGTGTGTTACCAATTATTTTCACTTGGGTAGAAATTAGCTTTTATTACTTTTTGATCTTATGATGGAGATTAGTAATTGTTATTGAGCAATGACTCTATGCTCGTCTTTGCTATTGGTACTTGACAAATATTTTTGTGACAACAGTAAAAATTTCCCATTTTATATGAATGACTGCTCTTTCAGTGGTTCAGGAAAGTGATGATGACTTTCTAGCTACTTATGTAGCTACAAAAAGTAAAATTATAATAAAGGACTATGACGTTTTAGCTTGCATTCTCTTCCAAAAATAGTTTTATAGCACGCACTTACAATGGAAAATTAAAACAATATGAGAACATCCTCCTTACCCTCTACTTAATCACTCCACCCATACTCCTCAATAGGAACCTATTGTTAAAATCTCTTCCTGTCCTCTCTCTCTCTCTCTCTCTCTCTCTCTCTCTCTCTCTCTCTCTCTCTCTCTCTCTCTCTCTCTCTGTGTGTGTGTGTGTGTGTGCTCATGTATGTGTGGGTACAGGTATGCACACACACTATGGTGCAGATGAAGGTTTGAGGACAACCTCAGATGGCCAGCCTTGCCTTCCATCTTGCTTGAGACTGGATGCCTTGCTCCTCACTGTATATGCAGGATAGCTGGACCAAGAGATTTAGGGACCTCCATGTCTCCACCTTCCATCTAGGAAGAGCCTCCATTTAGGAAATTTGGATTATATAGACACCAGTGACTACATCGTCCTCTATATGGGCTCTGGGGAGCCAAATTCAGGTCCTCAGGGATTGTTTTCCCAACTAAGCTGTCTCCCTAGCTCCTCCGTGGGAGCCTTGTAAAGAGTCTATTGTGACTTTACAGATACTGTCTGTAATGCATGTCCACATGCATATATATGTATATATAAATGTAAATGCACACATACAGATACATGGCATCTGTAATACTAAATAGTATCTAAATATTATTTACCATACACACTGACCATGTTTGCATCTTTCATTTAATATAGACATCTATCTAGGTCAGCATACACAGCTGTATTATGACCAGGGGAAGTTTTTAATGAATTCCAAGTCTTCCCTATAAAATGAACCAATATATTGTTCTGGGTAATCTCTCTAGAGATTGCTCTTTAAAGACAATGGAGCCATCAATATTTATAATTTCCTAAAAACTGACTCTTCAGAATAAGAAAAATAAATCAGGCAGACAAAGAGAGGCCATTTAACATAGCAGAGAAAGGCAAACGGATGGGACCCAGACCTGCCTTCCGCTCCCGAAAGCGACTTTTCACGAGCTGTTCCTACACTCTGTGCGCTTGATGTCCTCATCAGCAACATGGAATTAAAGATCCTTACTTCACAGGATCTAGTTTCGTTCTTGTTTTCAAGGGAGGAGGGAACCCGCAATGCCTACTTAGTAAAGCCAGCTACTTTTCAGTGAGACCGGGCCTGCTTTCAGGATTAACAAAGCATCACAATCACCTGCAGAATTGTCACAATAGTGTGTGCACAGAGGAAGGGTGCCCAGAGCAGGTGACAAACTGGACAGGAGGCGATGGAGCAGTGGACTCTGTTACTAACAGCCACGGTGTGTCTGAAGTGAACAGTTCTTCTTTTGGAATATAGTTCTCTTAACTATACAGTGATGCCGGGACAGAGGATTGCTGTTTCTATCTTCACGATCCTCAGAAAGTCTTTAAAGCCTTCTTCATTTTATTAGGGGTATTTTGTTGGCATGTATGCTTGTGTACTGTGTGCATGCTGTACCCAAAAAGGCTAGAAGGGGGCATTTGGTCTCCTGGAATTGGAGTTACAAATGGTTATGACATAAACCACTGGTGCTAGGGATCGAACCCAGGACTTCTGGAAGATCAGCCAGTTCTCTCAACCAATGAGCCATTCTTCTAGCCCCATCTCAGAAAGTCTTTGAAAAGGAGAACCCTCATTGAAATCGTAGCTCTTTACAACCATCAGATGCTTTTGTGTAGCATGAGGTTTCCCACTAGGTGGGATCTGTGCTATTCATGCAAGCAAGTTCCCCCAGCCCTCATTTATATTAGTTTTATGACATTTGGTTCCTAAGCTTCCCTCCTCTCAGATGACTTTAGCTTGTGTCAAGCTGACATAAAACTAGTGGGTACACAGGGTCTCTCACTGTACCTGGAGCCCACCAATTCTTCAAGACCAGCTGATCAGTCAGCTCCAGGGATATGCCCGTTTCTCTCTCAAAAGAGCTGGATTTCAGTCTTGAGCCACCAAGCCTGGCTTTTTACATTGGTGCTGGGGATTTGAACTCAGGTCTTCATGCTTACACACCAAGCTCCTCTTACCTACTGGGGCATCTCCCCAACTCAACTCTTTCTTAATATTTATTTCTGACCATTTTAACTTTCATGCAAGCACAGAATCTGCACAGTAGCACAAAAGCTACTGTCACATGAAACAGCTTTTGCTCCAATGGAAATGAGGGCTAATTCATTCTGAGCAAAACATGAATGGCCACGACATGCACACAAGGATTCAGGGTGCATTGAATGATGTATTCTCTCATGAAAGTCCTTACATCGTCTCTTATGGCAGTAGAACAAAGACAGTCATGAATCAATGCATTTACCAAACATACTGCTCAACAAAGCAGAAAAATTGGTCCTGCCTGTTTAGACACTGCCTGATAATACACTTAGCTTCTGGATTGGTGGAGGCTAGACATGTCAAGTGTAGTGATGCCTTCCAAGGGATATCTGCTGGCAATTGTGTCCATTTTATAATCATCTCCTCTGTACTTGCCCTGATACCTTGGTGTGATTTCTTAGTCAATTATGAAGCTTTCTAAAATACCAGCTACTTCAAAGTATAAGTTCTCAGACCTTATATGACCCCACCCATCCTTCAATCTTGACTGTGATCTTTTTATATTGGTCCCTAACTTTTCCTCAAAAGCCTAAGGCATGTGCTGTGTTACACACTCAAGCTCCTGTGAGCTGGAAGAGGCTTGGCCCCAGCTCCCATGTTGCCTCCTCCTTCCAGAGGTTTTCTGGAGACAATTTTGCTCCCTTTTCATGAAAATGTATTTCCAGTGACATTTTAGAATTCTCTTTCCCAATAAAGGATAGGAGACGACAACCACAAGTGTTTCAGCTCTTCTCATCTGATAATGCACCCAGCTTTGAATGTAGGTTTGTGTGTGTGTGTGTGTGGGGGGGGGTCTTGGCTGGCATTCTCACAGTCATCTAGAAGATTCTAAAAGTATGAGAGCCAAGCCTGATGCTCAGGCACTAGTCCAAGGTGAGTCTGAGTCCTGGGAGTTTTGGAATCTTCCTAAGTGACTTACTCCAATATCAGGTTAAAACCCAGGACACTGAGATACAAAACACACAGGGCTGTGTGTTGGTGAGCTGGCCCATTGCAAGCCTGGCTTAGAGAAAAATAATTGTATTCTTGTGGCCCATGACATGAAATCCTTTTGAGGAAGTCCTACTCATACTCCCTATTCTCTTCTCTTCTCTTCTCTTCTCTTCTCTTCTCTTCTCTTCTCTTCTCTTCTCTTCTCTTCTATCATATCCCATATTAAAACAGAATTAACCTTTAATTCACTTAATGATATCAAAATTCAAGCCCATCATTGTCATGAATAGATTTCCTCCACAATATCTTATGCTAATCATCCTGTGTGTGCACTCCCTTGTTAGATAAAAGTCAGAATTTATTCGCCTCTGGTGACTGGCTTACTAAGGTAAGTTGTAATTTTATTCCCACCAGTGTTAGCATTAAGGAGTTACTGTACCTCCCTTAAGGAGGCATCACTTAGCAACAGACTGGTTCCATATCTTCCTCCATTTGAATTGCTCTCTCATCTTTTGACATCATTTTTCTTTTTCCTGTCCCCCAGAGACTCATCCATAGCTCAGAAAAGCCTCACCCCTTCCTCATTACAGAACTACTTTTTTTTCTCATATTTTCAAATACAACCAGATATAACCACACAAACCATAGATCATGGTGTATTGTGGGAATGTCAAATGACATTTTACTTTTCCATAACTGTGATAGAATGTCCCACTGAAAGGAACTTCAGGAAGGGTTTGTTAGCTCACAGTTCCAGGTACAAACCAGAACGTCTTAGCTGCAGGGACATGAGGCAGCTGGTCTCAGTGCATCCACAGCCAAAAAGAGCAATAAATGGCTCATTTCTTTTTCATACAGTCTAGGAGCCCAGCCTAGGGGATGGTGCCACCCACAGGGGGCAGTTCTTCCCACCTCTAGTGATGTAATCAAGATGTGCCCTCCCAGGCATGCCCAAAGGTTAGTTTCTTTTAGGTGATTCTAGACCTTATCAAGTTGACAATTGAGATTAATCATCAAATGGAGTTCTAGGATTCCCATTTTACCCATTCCTTTTCCTCTTGTTGGCTCTCTGATTGTAGTCTGAATGTTTGGCAATCTCTTTCCCTTTCTGCACTTGCCTTCTGTAGGCCCTGCTTTGTTCTGAATTATAAATGTCACTTTGGGCTGGAGAGATGGTTAAGAGCAGTCAGAGGTTAAGAGCACTGACTGTTCTACTAGAGGTCCTGAGTTCAATTCCCAGCAACCACATGGCGCCTCACAGCCATCTGTAATGAGATCTGGTGCCCTCTGCTGGAATGCAGACACACATGCGTACAGAATACTGTATACATAATAAATACATAAATCTTAAAAAAAAAAAAAAAAAAAAGAATGTCACTTTGGTATTAGTCCTTGAATTTTCCCTATACAAAGTCCCATATTAGCTTAAGCATTTAGTGAACCGACCTACGAACTGTGTTGAGGTAATCACTACCAACTGTTTCCTATACAACTTTGATTAAATGTCTCTCTACTCTCACCTTTCTGTTTATTTTCTTTTCCATTCATTTCCCCTCAGGCTCCTCTACATGGCTTCCCTTCCTACTCTGCCTCAGTCTAACCTCTCTTCTGTCTATGTGTCAAGTGATAACTGGGAGCCTTGCTTTAAAAACAAAGGAACAAACACAACATTAGTTCTCTTCAGAGTTTTATAGAGAACTTATTAGAAAATTTAGGGCTGCAGAGTGAATTTTTTTTAATCCTTAAAATTCCTATTAAAAAGCTGGACATTGTGGCACACACCTGTAATCCCAGACATGAGATGGGTGTAGTAGGAAACAGGGTGATCCCTAGAAACTGGTGGGCCTGCCTATGTGGCAAAGTTGCAGGCCAATGAGAGGCCCTATCTTAAATAGAGATGGAAAGCATTGGAGGACTGGCATCTGAGGTTGTTCTCTGACCTCCACAGGTATGCCATGCACACACACACACACACACACACACACACACACACACACACACGTTCACTAAATAAAAATATATAGCTGGAGACGTCCATTGAATCTGTTAAAATCAGAGGAAAAGTATTTTTCACATTGATGTAGAACAGCAACAAATAAAACAAGATGAATCAACAAAGAATAGAAACAGCATGACAGCTTCTGGAACCGTCTTAGTCCCTCACGATTGCAAGTGTTTCCAAGCAGGCATAACTGCTGGAGCTTCAGCAGTTTTTCCTTGTGGGCAAACCACACTTTAGTTTTATATTCTACAAGGCAATGCTTAATAAAAATGGCTGAGAGCATGAAATCTAGTTTTTCCTGGGATTTATTATGTCCAAATTTAGTAAAGCCCAAGGAATGCTTTATTGGCTTCGTTAATCATTAATGATTGGGGTGATTCTGAATCCACCAAGAATCAGTGTGCAGAGAAATTAGTGAATTTACAGGGGAAAAATCTGGCTTAGACAAATGCTATCATTTATACTGTAGGTCCCATATACTGAAATAATGAGTTGTGATCAATCATACTTTACTGCTAATTTTAAGTATAAGCAAATGTTAATTACAAAATCACTTGCCATGACATCATAAGACTCTCCATTTCTAAATACTTTGCTTCGGCTCTGGATGATTCCTTGGACAATTAACTCCTCCAGGATGTCTGATGACTTCAGTCGCTCCCGACTTTCCAGGAGTTGGGGTTTATTGATAATTCCATTGGCCACTGGGTCTTCCAAAACGAAAAGCATAAAGAGAGATTTAAGAATAAAGAGTTTATCACTCAAATGCTAAAATAAGTTGGGGTCAGGGAGGTAGCTCTGTGGGTAAGAGATTATTGCAAAATCACAAGGACCCAAGTTCAAATCCTCAGCACCCATGAAAAATGTCTGGCATAGTTATCGTGCCAACAACCCCAATACCCTTGGGGGCCAGGGAGAGAGACAAGAGGACCACCAGGCTTGCTGGGTCCAGCAAGAGACCCTAGGTGGGGAATGATAGAGCAAGGCAGACACAGGGACACCCTTTTCTAGCTTCATGTTCACCTGCACACATTCTAGGATACACAGTACATGCACACACACACACACACAGTAAATAAATAATTTAAAAATGGGTGCCTCATACAAGTCACAGAATTAAATCTTGCCTCAACACTTTTGTCAAAATATCTAATTTCTTTTAAAACACTTATCATTTCTTTATTTATATTTATGTATTTATTTTATGCGTGCGAGTGCATGCATGTGCATCACTTTGTGAAAGTAGAGGTCAGAGGAGAATCTGAGGGAGCTGGTTCTGCCCGTCCAGTATGCGCGTTCCAAGGACTGAACTTAGGTTGGTAATGCCCGTCTCCTCAGCCCCAGTATCTGGTTTCCATATCAAGCTCTGTGATTCTTTGAAGTGCAGGCTTTTGCTGCCTTAACAGAGCAAACACATCAGCATAATCTATTCTTTATGTAGCAGTCTCATCCGAGCAGAATCAAGTCCTGTCCCCATGCTGCTATGTACAGCCTCTCTGTTGTCACAACACTTGGGTCAGATGACACAGACTTGCTTCACTAATTACACCGCTCCACTGCAGCTGAGGCTGGAGACTCTTCTGGGCTGCAGTTTGGTTTCTATGCTTTGTATACAAATGGTAAACAGCACGAAGTTGCCAAGGTCTATCGGGTTCTGCAGCCCTGGTGTACAGTTTCACCATTTGCTAAATCTACCCAGGGAAAGCAGGCCTTTTAGGAAAGAGCCCTTGAACGGGACCAGACCTGAAGCTAGAGCGCTATCAGCCAAAATCTTATTAATGATTTTAAAGATGAACCCAGTTATAGGAATGGATTTATGAACTTTACTCTTGAGGCAGGCCTCATTGCAAATCATCCATGTGCAGGAACAGCCACCTCCACACCATCAGATTATACAATAAAGGGTGCAGGTTTGTTGGCCCAAAGATGGCTCTGAGTCCCAAGTTGGAAATGACACTGTGCTGAGCCCTCCTAAGGGAGCTCTCTTCAAAGGATCCACTGTGTTTAGTAGATGGAGCTGTGTTTCACAGCTGTTCTAAACTCTGTGGTTACAAAGACAGCTTTCATGGAGTTTTGTAGTTTGAAAACGTTTGCAGAGATGGCGCACATGCTGGCCAGCTGTTTCTCATTTCAGACCATTAGTCCACCTGTCATGAGAGAGTAGTGCTTGACTGAACCCACCAGCTCAGTGCTTTCCATGGCTGGCTCTTCAGCCTTGTAGGTGTGTGAGATGGAGCTCTGCACTGCGGCTTATAGAATGTGCTCAAGCTGGGCGCTGGTGGTGCACACCTTTATCCCAGCACTTGGGAGGCAGGCAGATCTCTGTGAGTTCAAGGCCAGCCTGGTCTACAAAGAGAGTTCCAGGACAGTCAGGACTGTTACACAGAGAAACACTGTCTCAAAAACAAACAACAAAAAGATGCTCAAACATGTAAGTGGAGTGGAACCTCAGTAACATGGAGGTCACAGGTAAATGCTTCCATGGAATCAGAATGATTTCATTGTCATTATTATTAAAAAGGTGGGCTTGCTTAGAATGGGGACGCTAGCCTGTAAACCTAGAACTTAGAGGGTGGAGGCAGGAGAACCAGGAGTTTCATATCATCCCTGGCTATATGAGATCCTATCTCAAAGCCTAAATGAAAAAAAAAAAAAAAAAAAGGACTTACTAGGAAGGGCCATTAACATAGTAATAGCTACTAATTATTGACTGTCTATTCACCTGTGCTAAGCACTTTATATTCTGTATCACATTCACTTCAGACACAGATCTGTGACAGAGGTGATATTGTCTCTATTTTACCAATAGGCACACTGATAAGATACAGGCTAATTGCTCAAGGGGATGACTAGTTAGAGTGGTAACTAGGACTGAATCCAATTTTAACACCAAGTTCTCATCCTCACTATTTTCTCTCCTAACTATGACATATGAGTAGCTGAACCACCAGCATTCCGTCTCTCTCCCAGATGTTTCCGAAAGGATGCCACTAACATCAAGAAATGAATGTGACCATTCCAAGCTATCTTGTGAGTCTACTAAATTATTGTCTTAATCTGCATAGTAACTAACTACCCTTGGCAGAGATTCTTAGGAAACTCATTCTCTTGTTTGTTTGTTTTTTAAACATTGGAGCATATTGGGGCTGGGGTTAAAAATAACCCCATGTTTCTCTTTTGCTGTGGAGTACATTCATGAATTCTCTCATTGCTGTGACCAAATAGCTAACAAAAAGCCACTTAAGGGAGGAGGGGCAGCTGTAGTTTGGCTCACAGTTGGGAGAAGTACAGTCATCACGAAGATGCAGGCATAAATGTTGGGAGCAGCTTGGTCTGCTATCCTTTCCTCCATGACCCCAGTGCATGGGATGGTGCCACCCACATCCACTGTGGGTCTCCTCTCCTCTCCTCAGTCCTGCCATTCTGAAATGGTCCTCACAGATGCAGCTGTAATGTATCTGTCTCAGGCATCTCTTAGGTTTTTCTTAACCCGATTGTGATTAACCATCATATGGAGGGGGTGCTTAATTACCATAGTCAATTTAGAGAACATAAAAACACCCAATATGGAGGAGCAGTGTAGGAAATGAATGGCCAGACTATATCAGTCTTAAAATATAGAAAAGGGGCTGACACTACATGGTGCAAAATCCTGAGTAAGGAGGATGCCACATGTGTGCATCCTCCCCAGTGTGTGTCAGCAGAGACAGTGCACATTTGCCTTATTCCTGGTAATGATAGCATTAATTATCTTCTCAATTTGGAATCATCTGTTTTCTCCACATTAAAATCACAAATTTATCATTTGTAAAAAAAAAAAAAAAAAAAAAAAAAAAAAAAAGGAAGGGAGAGAGGGATGGAGGAAGGGAGGAAGGAAGGAAGATCAGGGATGGAGAAGGTGGCTGAGCAGCAGCTGAAGAATTTGCTGTACAAGCATAAGGACTAGAGTTTGTAGCCCAAGAACCCAAAAAGCTGGGCGAATGTGATACTACACCTGGCATTCCAGCACACAGGAAGGGACTCCTTAGAGCCAGCTGGCTAGTTAAAACAGTGAGTTCTGGCTTTCCCAAGACAAAGGGAGGCATTAGTTGAAGAAGATTCCTGATACCAGCCTTAAGCCTCTATATACACACATGCACCTGTATGTACTCACATGCATACAAACATTATTTTATCCGCCAGATCTTTTAGAACTGGAGGTACTAGTGTTAGTAGGTTGCCTGATACGGGTGCTGGGAATAAACCCAGGTCCTCCGTACCAGCCATAAGTCCTCATAACCACTAAGGCAACACTCTGGCCCCCATCCCAGCTGGTTTCCAATCTTAACTTGTAGTGAGAGGAGAAACAACAGGGATGTGGAATAAAAGTTTTCCCCTAAACTGAACCAATGTCCTTTCCCTCCTGATCTGTGCTGTTCTCTTTGTTCCAAAGGCAGAGCAACTATAAATAAGATGTCATCACTCAACAGCAAGGAAGAGCTCAAAGGAAGGGAAACCACAGCATTGCATCAGAAGGGCCACAAATAGTTTTTTAAATAGCACACCAGATCGTAATTACTTCTTTTATGTTTTTACTGTGTATTTGCTCATGTTGTGGATGGGGAGAGGGAGAGGGACAGTTTAATGAAGGTTTTATTTATTCGTGCAAATGTAAACCTTTCCCTTAAGAAGATGACAACACAGTGGAGGCATACACTCCCTTAAGCCATGTGATTTCTACTCCTAAAATGTGTTTCCAATTCTCAACAAGGGCTCTTGCTGTTGCTGTTATTTTAAGATGGCTTTAATGACTTCATCCACAAGATTAATAGCTAACATTATTTACTCACGATAAAGGCCCAAGACTAAATTCTAATGTCTTAGAGATAAGAATCTTGCCATTTAAAGTACACTAAGACCCCACAAGAAGTGATCAATGGACCATCAGATACATATACTTTATATTTAGAGGTCTGCCAGATATCTGGTGGAAATCAACAAGAACAGAGACAAAGGTTACCTGAATTTACTCTTCCATTTGTTTTACATGGAGAACTTTCTGGAATAGTCCCAGGCAAGCTTTCCATCTGGGCTTGTTGGTGAAGACTTTCAGCATTATCTACAGTGTCCTTGCCCCATGTAGCTTCAGTTTGGGGGCTGCAATTCTTGGAAGGAGTCACTCTGACATCAGCCTGTGAAGAGAGAACAGCTTGGTAAGATTTCTTAGGAAAATAAGAACAATATAGAAGAGTCTGCTTTGAGAGCACTTACTAATTAGTGTCTGCAGTAGTCTGATTGATAATCATAACCTATGGATTCTATGTTACACAGTAAAGTGACCGAGTAGATGTGATTAAGTAAAGCTCTCAAGATAGTCAGGCTATTGGAATTATTCACATAAACCCCAGATGCAATCATGATTATATATACACACATACATACTACACACACACACACATACACACACATACACACAGAGAGAGAGAGAGAGAGAGAGAGAGAGAGAGAGAGAAGCAGAGAAAGGGTTATGATTTGAATATGAAATATCTCTAAAGGTTCATGTATTAAATTAAGGCTTGGTTCCCAGCAGGTAACCCTGTTGAGATGTGACTGAATCATGAGAATGATAATCTCACCAATACAGTGACTCCTTGAGGAGCCATAGCTGAATGGGCTTAGGGTGTGGTACATAGTTAGAAGACATAGGTCATTGAGGGGTATATTTGTCTCTATACTTCCACTCTCTGGCTCCCTCTATTTCCTATCTGCAATAAGATGAGAAGCTTTGCTCTCTCAAACTCTCTGTCAAGGGCCCATGAATCGAAACCTCTGAAACTTCTAGCAAAAATAAAATAGTCTCACTTTTGGTAGTTTATCTCATACATACATACAGAAAAACTACTAACATGGAAATTTATTGAGCCTGAGAGGTAGGCTCATTACTGTGGCTTCTTGTTCAGAACCTTATGGAACTGGATTATAGGAGAAACTTGGAAAAGTTTGGAGATAAAAGCTAGAGAAACCCTAGAATGCTGTAAACAGAGTTCAGTGGGAAATCATGAATGTAGCTCAGAAGTCCAGAATACCAATAGAAATGCTGATAGTAAAAACTGTTGCTATAAGGTTTCAAATGGAAATAATGACTTTACAGGAGATTGGACAAGGGGCCATGAGTTTAAATTCTGGCAAAGGACTCTACATTCTCCTCTGAGAGTTTGTGTAAGGCTAAATTTCAAGTTGACAAACTAATCTGCTAGACAACATGCAAGGGAATAAAACATTCCCATTGTGGCATGGATATTTGTAGCATGAGTTCTATTACCATAGGTAGTACTAACTTCTTTTAACTCAATTTACAGTGAACCCTGGTAGCAAAAATCAGAGCAAAGAGAATATAAAAAAAAATTGTGATATGGACAGAAAACGACCATGCTTGTGGCTGGTAAGGAGCATTAAAAGGAGTTCAAGGCCAGCCTGATCTACAGAGCTAGTTCCAGGACAGGCTCCAAAGCAATACAGGGAAACTCTGTCTTGAAAAACAAACAAAGGAAGCCTACTACTTGGGTTTGAGATAAGATAATAGGAAGAGTACCTGGAAACCATCAGCAATTGGCCTGGTGGCATCCATCAGTAGTTCATTATAACTATTGAAAAGTCTGCATTCAAATGATAGCTCTAGAGGACCTGCCTATACACAGCCACCTGAAAAGCAGTTTTCTGTGTTCAGTTGTCCATGGTCACAGGCATCAAAGGGTATTTCCAAGGAGAATTGGGTACTCCCCCCCCCCTGGGAACAGTCCTTAACATCATTCACATGATGCTAGTTTCCCAGGCATCTAGAATGTAAGATGATGGGATGATGGAGGCTTCCACCAAGATTACTAAGGAAAGCCTAGGGAGCCGGGAAATGGCATGGCAAGGTTGGAATGCTTGCAGGTGTGCCCCTGAAAGGGCACAGTGAAAAGCTGTAGGGGTGAAGCCTATACTGCAGTGGAGACCATTGGATGACAGGGAAACACCAGCGAGGAACATCTGCTGAGGAAATTGCTTCCAGCATCATGGACAGCCGAGGCAGGCATTTTGGGCTTTGGCCAACAAAGCTGTGGGGGTGGGACTGACCAAGTCCTTGAGGTCCACATCTTGCCACCACATGTGTCTGATGTCCAACCTGAAGAAGAGGAGTTCCAGTCTGGTTGGGCCCCTTACTTCCCATTCCTCTCTTTGGAACAAAAATGTTCCATCTGTGCAATTGCACATGAGAAGTATATATTTTTTTAATCATTTATTTTATTTTTTTTTATCATTACCAGATATCAAATTTCGAGTCTTGTATGTGGGTTGTAGGTAAATGTAGTACCATTGAGCTACATCCCAAGATCATGTAATTTTATGTGAACTCAGAGGTAAGGGCTTGAGGGAAGTCTTAGTCTAACCCAAAGGGAGGGACTGATAAGTACAAAGCATCATTCTGAAGCCTTACTGGAGGCACCAAGATGAGTAAGTTCACAATCATCAATCAGGTGTGAAACTAGAGATACCCCTGTTTTAAAAAAGGGTACTTTTCAAAACACCTATTTTTGTAGTTTAAGATGTAAAACAACAACAACAACAACAACAATCCATTGAAATAGCCAAGCAATAAAAAAAAGACAATTGTGATGGTCAAGTCTGTGTCAACTAGGAGAGGCTGTAGTAACTAGTTTTTCAGTCAAACTGTAATCTAAGTATTACAGCAAAGGTATTTTGTAGATATAATTGCATCTACAACCAATTGACCTAAAGTAGAAGAGATTCCTTAAACCATCAGGGTGGGTCTCTCTCTCTCTTTCTCTCTCTCTGTTTTTGTTTGTTTGTTTGTTTGTTTTTGAGTCAGGGTTTCTCTGTGTAGCTTTGTAAACCAGGCTGGCCTTGAACTCACAGAGATCTACCTGCCTCTGCCTCCTGAGTGCTGGGATTAAAGGGGCATGCTGCCACGACTGCCTGGCAGGTGGACCTCTTCTGACAGTTGAAAGAAATTTTGTCTAGGGACTGTAGTTTCACTGTAGCCTGCCCTTTCTTTGTCCTATCCTACAGAGTTTGGACATGGCTGTCCAGTCTCATGTAGGTATTCCTTTGTCATACATGTATCTTTCCACCCATCAACCTAGCCATCCTCTTATTCACTCATTCATTCTGTTGGGTCCTTTCCTGTGGTAGCATTCTAACAGATATAGAGACTCAGTAGAAGATGATAAGTGCCACCCCTTGGACAAAAGCATTGATATTATGGGATTTGCCCATATTAAGAATTTAAAAAGGTAAATTAGAATTTGCCAAAAAGCCAATGAAGAGAAGTTCAGAATTGTGCAGCCACAAAAGAAAAGAATACAATAAATGCTTCACACCCACAAAGTAACTTCAATGAAGAAGATGAAAAATAATGAGTGGTGGAGAGTTTGTAGGGAAGCTGAAACCTGCATTTACTGCTATGAGTACACAGAACAGTGCTTCTACTCAGGATAAGAATTTAAGAGTTCCTGCAGAAAGTTAATGATGGAGTAACGGCAAGATCTGGAAACTTTATACAGTAGCAAAATGAAAATAATATTCAGCTCAAAACTTGCAACACGGTACCTATAATTACTATTCATAATGTTCAGAAGGTGGAAACAACTCAACTTAAATATCTATCAACTGATAATTAGGGAAAGGAAATGTAGTGTAATCATGCAAAATATTATTTAACAATAAAAGGAAATTAAATACTGACACATGTCATAACATAGACATTTAAAAACTTTCTTAAACGAGAGAAGCCTCAGAGTCATAGGTTCAGAGACTGTGGAGGGCCAGGGGACAGGGTGAGTGGGGTGGGATTGGCTGGTCATAGTCATCATTTCTTTGGGGAGGGATGTACTAAAAATAAATGACACAAATGGCTGTCACCTGCATATTTTAAGGGTGAATTGTATAGTACACGATTGTACTACAATTAAAATGTTATTAAAACAAACTAGATCAGATTCTCTGTGATTTGTAGAACATATTTTCCCCACTGTCAATATAGTAGATTCGACCTCATTCTATTTAATGGTGAAGAGCAGTTGCTCATGAACAATAGTGTGAGTTCATTACATAGTTCACCATGTAGCCATACCATACTTTATTTAATCCATTCCTGGGCATTTCTAAGTTTCCAATAGTATAAGCCAGGTTAGGATTATACTTGCTCATATACACCTTTATTAACTGATTCACTTTGTGACCATTCCTAGATGTATATACATTCTAGCATGTTCAATACTGTAGGTATTCCCAGAAGGTTCTTAATAAGCACTGTACCAACTCATAAACCCTGCTGCATTGTTGATATAGTCTGTAAGCCACTGATCCATTGGTCCCTGGTCTCACAGCAAAAGAAGAAAAATGCGATGGATTTTCTTCTCACCTGTCCATCGTTATGACATCATCATCAACACTAAGAAAGCAGATTCTGGAGAAGAGCTGCCTTAGTTGGGATGAAACACTATGACAAAAGCAAGTTAGGGAGGAAAGGGTTTATTTGTTTTACACTTCCATATCACTGTTCATCATTAAACAAAAGTCAGGAGGCAGGAGCTGATGCAGAGGCCATGGGGATGCTGCTCACTGGCTTGTTCCCCCTGGCTTGCTCAGCCTGCTTTCTTACAGAACCTAGGACCACCAGCCCTGGGATAGCCCCACCCACAATGGGCTAGGCCCTCCCCCATTGATCACTAATTAAGAAAATCCTGTACGGGCATGCTTACAGCCCAGACTTACGAAGGCATTCTCTCAACCAAGGTTCCCTCTTCTCAGATGACTGTAGCTTGTGTCAAGTTGACATAAAGCTAGCCAGAGCAAGAGCCTTTATATACATCATGCCTACACACAATATATCACATGAATGTGCATATATATTGGATATATATAGCAAAGGAAAGCAAGATTGCTCTATTTTATTTTCTGTAGCTATAACAAAAACACTCTGAACAAAAGTAACTTAGGGGAGGAAAGGATTTATTTAGCTTATACTTCCAGGCCACAACCCATTGCTAAGGGAAGTCAGAGCAGGAACTCAAGACAGGAACTTGAAGCAGAAATCATGTGGTAATTCTGCCCATGGCTCACTCTCTGGCTTTCCGGAAGGCCCTTGTTTAGCTACCTTTTCTATACAGTCCAGGACTACCTGCCT